GACCGAAATGCTAATGGGAGCCCCGGGTCAAACCGCCTCCCCTGTCACCAAGCCCTCCTCGCCAGCACATTCCTGCCACTAATGAGGCCCCGCCGCTTCCTCCTTCCTCCTCAAGTTGCTCCTGGTGATGCAAATCCACCGTCTTTGTTTCTATTCTTGGAGGAAAAACAGAACCAAAGTAAATAGCAAAACAGCTCTTAGGTTTCAGGATCCTTTCTTTTTCCACCCTTCCCGACAGTGCAGGGCTGCCGTTGCCGTCAGAGCGAGGTGACACCCGACCCCAGGCATCGCCCTGCGCCCACCGGAAACGCTCTGCTAATCTCCAGTCTCCGATGTCCCCATGGAGAAACCTGCAGGACTCAGTGACCATTACGTGTCCCTTCCTCCTTGGGATGCTCTATGACTCTCAGAACTCTGCTTCCCTGTGCTCCCAGGGAGCTCAGGACGGCACCAGCAGCCTCCCAGCAAGAGCAGGGTCTGCAGGGAGCACAACGTGCACCCCAGCACAGGCACAGCTGTCCCCTCCAGCAGGCTGGGGAGGTGTCCCCAACAGAACACCTCTGCCTGAGGAGCTGACCCCCCCCAGGCTGCGCCCAGAGAGACCCTGCATTGCCCAGTGTGTGCCCACCACCAGGGTACAGGTGCACGGTGCTGTGCAGCAATGCAAATAAGAGCTGCCATCACCCTGCAGGTGCCAGCAGAACAAGCAGCCGGTGCAGCAAGGTGCTGGCTGTGCTGCCAACATGCTGCAGGGCAGCCAGAAGCTGGGGCTGAAATCAGCTCTGATGCTGCTCAACTCCCGCAGAGGCTGCAAACAGAGATGGCGCAGACAGGTAAGTTGGTGATTTTGCACTAAAACTCTCTCTTCAGCTAGAGATTCTGTCTACAACATCCCCAAAATCACTTGCTGGGGTTCAGTGAAGCCCAGCATGCAGACAGCTCCAGCTCAGGTCATCAGAGCTGGCCAAGGGCAGCAGCAGATGGATGCTCCTGGGGGCACTGGGGCCATTCTGCTGCAGTCCCACCTCCATGGCTCTGCTGGAAGGCAGCAGTGGAGGGCACAGCTCTGCTCTGGGCACAGCTGCGGGGAAGAGCAGACACAGCCCCACAGAGCCCAACAGCTCTCATCAGTGCTGTTCAGACATGAGCGCTGCCCTCCTACCCTCCCTCACTGTATTCAGACACGAGAACATGAGGGTGTGAAGGTGGGGAGAACTCAGATCTCTTCAACAAGGGAAGGGATAGGGCAGACAAACCCTCTCCCTTCCTCCAGAGCTGGGGAAAGAAGGGTGCGAGCAGCGCGAGAGCCGCCGATAGGCGTGCAGCAGCACCCTGAAGTGCAGTGCTGCAGAGACCTCTTGCAGCACAGCGCTGCTACTGCACGCCTGCCTGCAGCCCAGCATGGCAGAGCAGCACTCTGCACACTGCTGCACGCCCAGCTCACCCAGTGCAAAGTGTCTCCTGTGGACGGACACTGCCCTGAGAGGCTGCTAGTTCTGCTGCCCGTCCACCTGGCACATCCTTGAGGCTTGATCCTTGAAACCACCACGATGTGCAAAAGGGTCGCAAGCTTCTCACCGCAGGGAGCTGCTCGCAGGCAAGGTGCTTTGCAGAGAGCTGCCCCATTTCATCAGGGATGTGGGGCACTGCTCAGAGCCCCACATCTGCAGACTGTGAGCTCTGAGCTGCATGAAGACAGTCCAGCAGCCAGGTGTGCTGCCTGGTGTCTGGGGGAGGAACTGCAAGAGTTTTTAACGGAGACAGCACGTCTACCAAGGTAAACATAAGGAAGTGCCACAGGAGGAACAGCAGCAAATGTGACCTACTACACCCGGCCTGAGCAGTGAGCGGGCTGGGATGCAAGGATGTGGAATCACAGAGCCATTCCTGCTGTCAAAACAAGAAATGAGAAGAAATCAGGATGGCAAAAGATACCCGGCTGTGCCCTTTGGGACCACCAGGAGCAGCCCTGGCTGTCAGGATGTGGACACCAGAGGGACCCAGGTGGAAGATGCATGGCCACTGCCACCATCACACAGTCACTAGGAGGGGACAGGCAGTGGTAGCACACCAGGACCTCCTCACCATGACCAGATCCTGCCCCCGCTCCAGCCCTGCCAGTACAGGGCCAGATGTCCTTGCTGCACCCCAGCACCCCGCAGCCCCACTGCTCCTGCACAGCACCAAGCCAGAAGAGGGAGCAAACAGTGTGGATTCATGGAAGATGGAATGCTTTGTTCTTGGGGCTGGGACATGTGGGATCTAGAGGCCATTTCCCAGCATTTCGCAAGTTAAGAGCAAATCCAACCTGCACTTGCCCTTGAGCACTGATACAACTCCCACCAACGCCCCACCTGCAGAATGGCAGTCCTCAAACCAAAGTCTGTCTCAGCAATAAAGCCCTTCCCATTTCAAGCCCAGGAACCCACAGCTCTCCTGTTTATCCCACTTATTTCAGGCCCCACCATAGACTGTATGGCCATACGCTGCTCATCCAGGGCTCTCACATCCCCCAGAACAGAACAGCACAGGCAATGTGCAAACACCCTGTGTTCTTGTCCTGTACCAAGCACTGTGTGAATATCAGTGAGTGGGTCCCAGAGGCACTTTCCCTCTGGAATCCTGGGGCATTTCCAACCCCCAAACCCAGCCCTTCTTTCTGGAGCAGGAACACACTCAGGCGGTGACCAAAGGTCCCCAAGGCCAGAACACTGTGCTGCAAGTGGCGTAGAAAGCAAAAGAAAACTACAACTCCATAGATGTTACTGAAACCAAGTCCAACCTTGATGGAAGCAGTTGATGAGCACAGTGTGCTGGCTGGGGAGCAGAACTCCTCTTGCAAAGCTCTGAGCCACGTTTGCACACTCAGACCAAAGCACCTGCAGCACGGCCTGCCTGTGCCACTGCTTAGTGCCCAGGAGGGGATGCGTGCTTGGTGCTGCTCTGCTTCAGAGGTGAGCTTCAGCACACAGTGAGGCACCCCAGTGCACCCAGACCCATCCTTCCATGCAGAGAATAATGCAAAGGAAGGAGGTGTGGTTGCATGCTGAGTTAGGCTGCATCTGCTCCACATCTGCAATGCCATCCTCCCGGAGCACCACGTGAGCCTTGCTTGGATCTGAGAAACACCTCCCTCTGACTGGGATGAGAGAGCAGCCCAGCAGGTTGCATGCCCCTTCCCAGGACCTCCCCGCAGCTCCTGCAGCACTGGGGCACCACAAGATGCTGCTGCAGTTCAGCCCACGTCAGTCTGAGCAGGAAGCAGCTGTGACTGGCCGGCCCCGCTCCTGTTTGCTGGCTGTGACGCGTCGCTCCCCACTGATCTGCAGCACCGAGTGATTCACGCCCGGTTTCTCCCCCTCAGTGCCCACTCCCCGGGATTGTTCTCAGCAGGATGTGCTCTGAATGTGAGCAGCTGCCCGGCGCAAGCGTTACATCATCATTGATTATGCTTGTAATTTTTATTGGAATACTCATCGATGAACAACAGTCAGCAAGCGAGCGGTGTGCCGAGGGCAGATCTGCACAATGGGATGATGCAGCGCAGCTCTCATCCACCTCCTTGAGACACACACTGCCACTGAGCCCTGCAGTGCCTTTGCTGCCTTCTTTAGCCCTTTTGTGATTGGTGACCCGCCTGCTAAACGGCTCCAACCCTTCTTTTTCCTTCTGTTCTTGAAGCGCATGTTGTAAACAAGAATCACAGAATGGTCGGGTTGGAAAGGACACTAAAGATCTCCCTGCCCCAGCACTGCCAAGGGCTGCGCCTCCCCAGCTCAGGCTGCCCAGAGCCCATCCACAACCACAGACACCTTCAGGGATGGAGCACCCACAGCTCTGGGCAGCAGATGGAATCAGGGCAGGGCTGACCGTGGGATGCCCACGGTCCCAGCAGGTCCTTGCATGCTTCAGAACAAGATCCAGAGGTGGGAATAACACGGGGATGGGGAAGGGATGGCTCTCACCACGCAGAAACCACAACTCCATATTGTGTCCCACGCAGTGTGGGTCCCTGCACAGCCCCAGTCTGACACGTGCCCTGTGCCAAGGGACACGTGCAGCTGTGACAGCAGCACAGCAGTGACCAAACGCTCCCAGCTCTCAAAGATGGGGACTGTGCCAACGTCAGCAGCCTGAGAGCAGTGCAAGGGGAAGGCTCGTCAGAAAGAAAATTCATTCTGACAATCACAGAAATCGGAATTCATTTAAAATTCAAATTATGCAAATTCCAGTAATCCCTACATGCAGATCCATCACATGCCAGCAGTGGGACGGCAGACACGCCACTGGCTGCAGCTCGCAGAGATCCATCCATCACCAGCTCTGCAGACAGTGCAGGGCTGCAGGCAGCACACATGAGGTCCCCCAGCATTGGCACCAAAGGGAAAAGCTCCCATACCCCCATGGGCACAGGGTGCAGGCCCCAGGTGCTCCCATGCCAGCTGCAGGAAGTCCTCTCACGGAGAAGCATGGATGCATTCTGCAAACATGAAGCCTCCATTGGGCAGAGCCCCAAAAATGAGGGCCCTGCTCCACCTGCACCCGGCCATAGCATCAACACCTTTCAACCACAAGGACACAGCAAGGAAATAAAAGTCATACACAAACCCTGCTGCGCTCCCATATGCCCTGTGGGTGTACCATGGAGAGCTGAAGGCCCCCAAAACCCACGAGCAAAAGCCCTCATGGAGTCAGAGGCCAAAAAGAACCACACACAGAGCATGGAGAGCTGGGAGAGAGCACAGTGCCCACTACTTACCCCGCAGCAGGACCGCCCCAGCTGTACCCTGCAGTCCCTCAGACCCCACATCCTGCTGCTGCTGCTGTTCGTTGCCATTCCCGACACTGCCACTGCCTTCCCCAGCATAGAGCAGCAGCTCCGGGTCCCTTCCTGCTGGATCCAAAGTGCTGGATCCCAACCAGCTCCTGCAAAGTCCTTGCCACAGGCAGGATCAGCACCAGGGAGCACACGAGCCACTACCTTCAGTGGTGTGGTCCACAGAGCACAAGGGGCAGGAATGAGCCCTGTGCAGCACCCCACACATTGCAGGGAGCAGCCTCCAGACCCAGCCTGTGCCAACAGGTGGATCAGCCCTTCCTCGGGGCAGGGGGGAAGCAAACAGACCCAGGAGCAGCGGGTTTATGGAGATGCATTGCACCTGCCCATGCCTCACAGCAGGTGAGCCCTGCCGGCCTGGGCTGATCGCCTGACAGCACAGCACTTCAGGTTACACGGGCGCACAGCGCCTGCTCTGCTCCCATTGTAGCAAAGCCCTCATCTGTTTCCAACCAACGCCGGGTGCCTTTCAGTGTGAGGACACCCAAGCCCTCATTACAACCCCAAGCCAGTAACGAGGTGGGAGGGAGGCCACACAAAGCCCTGTATCAGGTGTCTGTGGGAAAGGGAAGATGCAGAGCCCATTAAACATTGAGTGGGGAGCGCACAGCACCCACAGAGCAGTGGGAGGACGGCTGCCCCAGGGGCTGGGGGCTGCTCCCTGCAACCCTGCAGCCCTGACCCCTTGGAAAGGCCCAAATGCTGCGTGTTTGAGGCAGAGCAGTGCCCACCCCTTTTTGCCTTGAGCCCCTTTTTGTTCTGACCAGAGGTGCACTGCCTGGTGAGCAGCAGCAACCCAACCCAATGGCAATGCTGTGACTGGGAGCCACAGAACCTGCCCAGCATAGCAGGTGTGGGCAAAATGAGCAGCATCAGGATGGAGAGAGACGTGTCTTTTGTTTTGTCGTACACGCATACAGCCAACCCTCTGCCATGCCAGTGTTTTGCAAAGCCACGTGAGTGGGTTGCATCACCCCAAGTACTCACAAACTGCCGCCGCAGCCGGGTCCGGACACGCTCAGCCTTGGTCTCAGCGGGATGCACGGCGTAGCCCAGCGAGCCCAAGTGGTTGTCAACAGAGAGGCTCTTCCGCATGTAGAAGGAGCGCATCCGAAAGTGGCTGAACGGGGCGTCCTCCACCGCCGTGCGGAGCTGCGGCTGCAGCGGGGCGTCGCCGGGGGGGTCCATGCCATCGTCCTCCAGCCGCCAGGCGTCCCCTGAGGACAGAGGGACAGAGGGACAGCCACCCCGTCAGAGCTGTGCTCAACCCCTGGTTCTGTGCCCAGGATGCGGGTGGAGATGCCCACCCAGATCACCTCCGTTGATCCGTTGACAAGGGATGGGTGCCGCCCCATAGGAGTTCATGTCCCTGCCACAAATCCCAGGTGTTCCCACCTCATTCAGCAGCTCCCAGCCCATTAGGGCCCAATGAGGCAAACTCCTCTCAACTGTTTCCACCCATTCATTGCTCTTCGGGGGCTGGGGCCACCGTCCGTAAAGCATAAAACACTGCAGCATGCAGGGCTGGGATAGTGCTGAGCACCCCTCACTGCACCAAAAGGGAAAAGGTGCAAAGCACACAGGTGACATCTCCATAGCATCACTACTTCCCGAGCAGCCCAGGTATGGACATTGCGTGCTGCTTCTTGCCTGACAGACAGAGCTTTCCTCTCCCACCCCCCCGCAGCCCAAAATGCTTCTCAAAAGCGAGAACAAACGAACAAAGCAACCCCGTGCTCAACCCTGCAAAACCCAGGCCAGCTGCTGGTCCTGCAGCACAAAGGCAGTGGTGAGGGCTGGTGCTGCTGCCTGCTCCTGCTGCTGCACCGCTTTGTTGGCTTTCTGAGCAGCCTGGCACTGGGGGGCACAATACCACAACCAGGGCTGGGGAGCAAAGTCCTTCAGAGTTGAAAGCAGATAAAGGCCTTAAGGAGAAAAACAGCCAGAGTGAAGGTGAGTGAAGAAGAAAAAAGAAGAGGCTACAGCTGCCAACAAAGGCGACCCGGAGCAGTGCAATACCTAGCAGCTATTTTTATTATTTTTTTTTAGCCCTGCTCTGAATTTAATCAGCTGCGCCGCTCCTCTCCAAATGTCAGCTCGTACAACACAGGAGCGGCTGTTTGAAAGCTGTGATTACTCCAGGCACAAACACGTCAATCGGGACCAGCCCTGGCTGCCACCACACAGCACAGCAGCCCCATGCAGATTGGGCTGCAGGGCCAGGGCAGCTCCCAGTGTAAGGTCACCGTGCATCCCACAGCCCCATTCACCCCCCAGCCCATGACATCCCGCAGTGGGACGGCTGGGAGCACACTGAGCTGCCCTGGAATTGTCCCCTGCTCGGGTACAGTGAGTATAGGGAAGCAACACAGAGGAGGTCAGGTCATCTCACCTCCTCCAAAACAAGGACAAGAGGGAATAACCTGAAGTTGCGACAGGGTTGGATATTAGGAAACATTTCTTCTCTGCAAGAACGTTGATGCACTGGTATGGGGAATGCCAGGGGCTTTGCTCTGTGCCAGGATTCAGACACAGACCAGTGCATCCAGGTCTGTCCTTGCCCACTGTGCCTTGGTGGCCCTGAAGCTCCTGAGGGAGCAGCCCTGACACACAGCTACTGCCATCCCATCCCTCGTGTCCCCACGGGCACAGCAACCATCCACAGCCCTCCATCCCACGCCCAGACCTGCTGCGTCAGAATTAGGAGCACCGGGAAACGAAGCACAGTCTGCAGAGCATCAGAATTAATCCAGGGCTCAGCCAGCTGCTGGGTAGCTTGCAGCAATCTGACAGTGAGGGCGTTAGATTAAAAAAATAATAATAATAAAAATCTTTAAAAAGTCAAAGGGTGTTGGGTAGAGGCAGCTGCTTTGTAGGGGTTTTATTTTGCACTGGATTGCCAGCGCTGGCTCACAAGCTTTATCCCTGTTTCAGTGCTAATCACCTTCCCCATCACTCCTATGGCCCCAGCATGACTCTGCTGGCACCAGAAGCGTGAAACACTTTGCCCACCAGTGCTTTTGCCAATAAACTTGCTCAGAGCAGCTGGGCCAGCCGTATTAGTATTTCATCAGGATCAGCGCAAGAGCAGAACACGATAAAAGCCTCAGTTGCCAAGAAGGCCAACCCCCAGCCCCCGGGTGGGGAGCATCCATCACAGTCATCCCCAGGGCAGGAGTACAGGAAGAGGAACAGTGCCACTGAGCTCCTGCTCCCCGAGGAGGAGGGCAGCCAGCTGTGCCCTGAAACCTCTGCATGCCAGAGCACAGAGGCACCTCAGCCCACTGCAGAGGTCAAAAGACTGTGGGGCAGCAGCTTGCCGGGCTGGAGCTGAGCACCATCTCCAAGTGGGGCTGCCCCTCCTGAGCCCCCCTCAGCTTTGTCACCAATGTAATGAAAGACAGAAAAGTTTAAATGACGGCCTCAAGGAAAGGCTCAGAGATGGGCAAGCAAAAAAATCATCGAGAATGGCAGATCTGGGAGCAGGACAACCCCACAGGGACCAGTGCTGGATTTGCCTGGTCGGCGGTGCCCCTGGAGAACCGGGCTGCATTCGACAAAGGTTTGCAGACCCCCGTGCACTCACCAGCTGATGGGACCGTGCAGCCCTTCTGGCCATCAGGGGCTGAGTGCTTCTGGTAGGGCTTCTGCTCCGGCATCGCCTCCCGGAACGCTGCAGAGTCGAGGAGGGGAATCCTGCTCAGCACTGGGGACTGCGGGATGCTGGGCAGCGTCCGGGACTTCCCCAGGAGTGGCCTCTGCAACTTTCTGTCCAGGGACCTGCAGGGAGAGAACACAGGGCTCACTGCAGGCCCAGGGGTGGCTGCTTTGAGTCTCTGCTGGAGGCATAAGGACTGAAATGATACAAATTGTGAACAAGAGAATGAAAGCTCTGCCCGCCCCCCACTGCAGCTCTGTGCCTTATCCCACTGCCACCATGCCATTCTGTCAGACCTCAAATATTTCCTTCTTTCTTGCATGTAAATCTCAGTGCTCCTCCAGATGCGCCTGCACACAGCTCTGTTTGCTGCAGAGCACCATCAGCATGTGGGACATTAACGTTGCTTTGTACCTACTGTGCTGTTCACATGGACTACAAGAGGGTCAAAGGGGCGAACTCGTGCTCTTGGAGTAGACCTTTGGAGCTGCAGACAATGATTTCTATTTCAACCCCAAACCTGTTTCCATCTGGAATCTGACTTGAATCCCCAAGCAAAGCCAGTGCTGGAGATGCACCGTGCAGTGTGCCACGGCCAGCAGCCAGTGCTGCTGCTGGGACATCGTGCAGCACTTCGTGAGCCAGCCCCAGCGCCGTGCGTTACCAAGGATGCCACATGCCATTAGTAAAGAGCCTTGATGGGAGTGTACAGCTCAATTAGAAAAGCCATCATCAACACAGCTACAGCCCATCAACAGCAGCTGTTCAGTGCTTGGTGGAAAGGAGAGCACATACGCAACCAAATCTTGCCGGCCCCATTGCTGCCAGGTCTCTGCCTCCAGCTCACCACAAGGTGAGGGTGGGTGGCACCAAGCTGCTGGCACAGCACAGACCGCTCCAGCATCACCCATTCTGTAGCACCCAGGGCACAGGTGCTGCTTCCTCAGGCATTTATTGAAAGCATACCACCCAGCCAAAGCAGCCAGTGTGGCAAGGAAAAGCTGGTGCCTGCCCTACAGCCACGTCCTGGCTGGAGAGGTCCGTGCCACACAGCTTCATTGCTGCAGGAAAGGAGGGGAAGGGCTGAGCAGAGAGAAAAGGGAGGGAGGCAGAGAGAAGGCCAATGCAAGTCAGCCAGGGAAAGCCAGCACTCAAGCCACTGCCTCCAGAAACCTCTCCTCCCCCTTTATTTCAATGTGGGAGAGTCAAAAGGCCCTTCTCAGCACGGCCCAGGCTGGTTTGTCCTTGTTCTGAGAGGAAACACAGAGCCTCTGCCTCCCCCACAGCATGGATGGAAGGGCCCCAGGCTAACTAACCCTCCTATGGGACAGCCCAGGGCTCACAGCTGCACTTCCTCCTCTGTCCATCAGCCCTCAATCCATCCATCCGCCCCCTAAATCTGCCATGAACCAGGAGCTCATGAATCTGGGTGACCCACACAGCACCCAGGTGGTCCCCCAATGAAGCAGGGATAGCTCAGCCCCTGTGGGGTGTGGGGATGCTCTGAAATCACTGCAGCTCACTCCGAGCCCCACAGCGCTGCCAGCAGAGCCTCCACCAAACTGCCTTTGTGCTGCTAGGTGCTACCAGGGGCTGAGGAGCGGAGGGTGAGAGCTGAAAACACAACAGCAGCCTTGAGCTGGCTGCGAAACGGATTCAAAGCAAAACAAAACACACACACACACAAAAAAAAATCCCACAACAAAACAGCATTCAGCTCACAAGTTCAGGGAGAAACAAAACAAAACAAAACAGCCAACAAATAAAACCACAACCAACATGTGAAGCTATAAAAATACCTCCCCCCCCCAAAGCTCAGCTGTGTGCTGGTAAATATCATGATTTCCACCAGCTGGTTTGCAGAGCTCCTCTCCTGCCATCGCTCCGGGCTGATGAGCTTTGCACAGCAGGGGCCATCGCCCGGGCAATGACAGGAGGCAGCCGGGGCCATCCGCAGCAAACCACGATGGCACACGGAGCTGCTGCTCCCCCCGGTGCCCATGCAGCAGTGAGGATATTGAAGGCAGCTGGGATGCTCGGCAGGGGAACGGGAAAGCTTCAAGGGGGGAGCAAACCGGAAAATGGCACACAGCTCTTTGTTTTAAGCCACGAAGCTCTCAGTCAGACACATAACAGCTTATGCTGAGAGGCAGGGAGAGCTGAGATGAGAACCAGTGAGCATCCAAACCCTGCGGCGGGGCAGCTTGGCCCCTGCCTACACGCACAGGGCAGACCCCCATGGCCACCAGCCTGGCACCGGGTGGCCTCACCCCCAGTCGTAGCCATGAAGCTATGGGGCAGGGCCAGAGCAGGGCTGTGCTTTGTCCTGGGCAAAGGAGGAGAATGGAGCTTAGCTCACCTCACACAGGACATTGCAGGCATGGGTGAGATGTGCCAGGCACAAACTCTGAATGCTTCGATGCAGAAAGCCTGGTTTGCTTTAAATCCCATCATTTCTGCAGCATGAGCAAGCGTTCCACCCCTTGAGGTCAGCATTGGCAAGTCTGCTAAGCCCCAGCAAAAAGTCATCATTTCATATTTCGGCCAAAAAAATATCCCTAAGCACAGTTTTGGACACTGTGTTGTTGTTTCAAACCCTCCTCCCCTCCTGAGCTGGGCTGGGTTTTGATCTGAAGCACCAGAACCTCAGAGCACCAATAGCACCCGTGGGGTTCCCACTGCGGCCAGGTGGACACAAGCCTGGCCAATGGGATGGATTCATGCTCCCAAAATGCTGCAGTAACATCCCTGAGAAGTGCTCTGTAATGAAGGGGGGTGGATGCAGGATGAGGGGGGATGGCACTGCCCCCATCCCATGGGGCCAGCAGCACTGGGTTGTGAGGTTCCCACCGAACGGATGCAAAGAAAGCATGAGGAGCATGCGGAACAACATGAAAGGAAACCCACTGAGGCTGTCCTGCCTTTTCTCCCCTGTGTAAACATTCGTACACGATCACAGAGCACTTCTCTGCAGCAGCACCCTGAGCAAAACAGCACCTCAGGTTCTGTCCCTGCTCCTTCCCGTTGGAAAGCGAGATACAAATATCTGTGCCATCACCAGCAGCTCCCCATGGGCAGCCTGACCCCACCACAGAGCTCCCACTGCCCCTCCTCGAAGGAAAAGAGGGAGGAAATAGAATGGAAAAGGCTCCAGGGTTAAGGTAAGGACATGGAGATCGCTCGCCAATTACCGACCCAGGCGGAGCAGACTCAGCAGAGGGAGATTAATGCAATTTATCACCTATTGCTGACAGATCGGAGCAGTGAGAACTAAAACACCAAACAAACTCCGAGCCTCACAGCCCCCTGCCATGTGAGCACAGCCAGGGGGTGAGCCGGGGACACAGCCCAGCACCCTGCTCCATTCACAAACCTCCCCCTCGCCGACCGCCGCTTTAATTAGAAGCTGTTGGCATTCACAGCCGCCTCACTGAGCCGCTTCCCCCGGTGTGTGCGGCCGGGGCCTCTGTTTCCTACCTGCCCACCCACCCAGCTGTGACTCAGTGCCAACACAGTGGGTGAATGAGGCACCAAGCAGTCTTTCTAGCAAGCGTGACTCACAGGCCAGGGCTCGCTGCCGGAGAAGTTTGCTGCAGTCATGCTACATATGTAATTCTCCTTAATGCCAGCGTAACTTCCCCTTCCTGCTAGCCCATCCAGCTGTCACACGAAACGAAAGGATGACTATTGGGTTTTTGCCTAATCCGAGTAAAGATGAGCTTCAGCTTGTGCAGAACGCAGCCAGCTCCCAACCCCGTCCCCACCCTAACAATTAGCTCCAAAAGGAGCTCAGGAGCTGGGCAGAGGAGAAAAAAGCCAGTGCACGCCCCATCATCACTTGGGTTTAGATGTAACACTCCCCCAGACCCTAAAGGATGATGCTAAGAGCACCTGGGCTCTTTTCCAGCCCTTCTGAAGCAGCAAGTGCCCTGGGGGGACACACAGTGCCCGGGGACAGCAGGGGGCAGAGAAGCACCCCCACAGCCACGCAGCACAGCGATGGAGGCAGGAAGGCTCTGCTCACCCACTGCAGGTGGGAAAGGCACAGGACGGCCATAGAGTGCAGCCCCACAGCACCCTGTGAGCTGCCACCACAGCCAGCACCCACGCCATGCACAGGCACGAGGGAGAGGGGCTGAGGCCAGAAGACATCGATGTCTGCTGCAGGGAACTTCAGCAGGATTAACTTCTGCCCAGCAGGCTGTGGCTGAGTCACCGACACGGGATTTAGGGCTATTTCCAGCTTGGCTTGGTTCAGCATCAGCACAGAGCGCTTCCACGCATCAGCAGTGGACACGTCCATCGCTTTTTGTATTACTATTTATTTCTTACCATAGGTGCCACTGATTCGTTGTGGCAGCAATGCAGATGCACACACCCACACGCTGTCCTGCTGGCTGCTCGGCGAGGCGGGTGTCGGAGCTGGGAGCAACCACATCTCACATACAGCTGCCACAAACACTTCCGAGCAGTGCGAGGTGGAAACTTCTCACTCAGATTCAAGCACTTCCCAGTGCCTCACTTACATTCTCTTTTAAAATCCAGCTCCACCAGCCAGCACTGACCGAAGGGCACAGGACTGGAACTTGGCAGGACTCAGTTGTGATGTCCCTGGGCAGCCATGGGGACTCTCAGGGCTGTAAACCAGAGGTGGGAGACCCGCTTCCATTTTTACCCAGCTGCTTCACATTGCCTGCTGCTCACACAGGGTTTGTGCCTTCAGTGCAGTTTTCCAGCCCCAAAACGTGCCAGATCTTCCTCTTCCCCATCACGACTGCGTGCCTGAGCACAGACCTGCTGCCAGAGCTGGAGAGATATTTTTACATACCCCAAAGCAACCAAGCACAATCCTGCCAGCAGAACACTGCCTACTGCCCTCCCTGCCTGGCAGCACTGCTCTCAGGTCAGACCAACCTCAGCAGTTGCTGAGAAACCCTCCAAAACCCATTATCTCCATGAAATGCTGCTGGATGCACTCCCTCCCAGAAGAGCCAGAAGCACCCAGGATTTCCAGCCAGGACAAAGGAGGTACCTCATAGAATCATGGAACGGCCCAGGTTGGAAGGGACCTCAAGGATCATGAATCTCCAACCCCCCCCCTGCCAGAGGCAGGGCCGCTAACCTCCCCATTTAATACCAGAATAGGTTGCCCAGGGTCCCATCCAATCTGGCCCCCACCACACACACACAGGGAGTCCCAGTTGTAGTTGTGCCTTCCTCCTTCCTGATCCACTTTTGGAGCAGCACGAACGTGGCAGAGGCTGTCCAGTCCTTTCAGTTTAAAAATAACAAAATGAAAGTTAGCTATTCTGTTCTGCACGTGTCTTTTCCTTTCCTTGTTCCCCCACGCCAGGCATGCAGAACACCAGGTGTGAGCACACCGATGCTGGCACCAGGAAACAAAGCAGAGGATGTAGCCCTACATGGCTGCACGCAGACCCTGCTGCATTCCTGCCCAGGCTCGTGGCCCCTTTGCCCAGCACTGCAGCCTCCAGAAATGCACCTCAGACTCTCGCACTGCAGAAACCAGCACAGCTCCACAGCCACTCAGCTCAGGCATTCAGCTTTGCCATAAAACTCCTACAAGGCTGCAAAAAGTTACTGAGAAAAATTGCTTGTTTAAGAGGCTCTGGTTGACTTTTCCAGTCCATCACGAGCACCGGGAGGTGCTGCCTGCTATGTGCACCAGCCCAGAGACCTGTCAGCCCATTCAGCTTTGTGAAGTGTGCACCTATGCCACAGCGGAGCATCTCTCAAGGTGGAGGAGCACCTGCTGACATAACACAGGAGATGTGAACCACGGCACGGTTCTGCATTGCAGCTCACAGCAAAGAAATAGGGCATGTCCTGGCTGGAGATCCTGGGTGCTTCTGGCTCTTCTGGGAGGGAGTGCATCCAGCAGCACTTCATGGAGATAATGGGTTTTGGAGGGTTTCTCAGCAACTGCTGAGGTTGGTCTGACCTGAGAGCAGTGCTGCCAGGCAGGGAGGGCAGTAGGCAGTGTTCTGCTGGCAGGATTGTGCTTGGTTGCTTTGGGGTATGTAAAAATAGGAGGCTGAGCAATACCTGTGAGCACTGGGTTTGGCCAACAGCATGGAGCAAGAAGGTGCTATTGCTATGTTAGCTGTCTGTGCGCAAGTTGGAGCCCTGCTGGCTCACGGCACAAATTCCCAGACCCAGCAGACTTACTCAACCCTGCTTTTTCTGTGGGTGTCATTTAAAAATGCAGGCATATTACTTAATACCACAACTACACGCTGCTAATATCTTTTAGGTCCTCTGAGAATGAGTGGGATCACTATATTTAGAATTTAATAACACCAAGCAGCACACCCTGTGTGCCAGTGCTGCTTGCTGAGTTCCAGCAGCACCTGGAGCCGATCGCCCTGAGCCACACCAACCCTGGGCAGAGCTGGGGGGTCCAGTCACCCTGGCGTGGCACTGGCCAGGATGCAGGAGCACCACGTTTCATTCATCCACACTGACTTGTAGAAGCGAAGAAGGAGCTTCGATGAACAGAGACACTGATTTCAAGAGCATCCCACGGTCCGATCAACGCTTATTTTGACTCCCATCAGCAGATGTATGTCATCAGGGCACAGACGCAGCAACAGCAGGAGCAGCCCTTGCTTGGAGCCAGCCCTGGGGCTGCTGGGCTGCGTGGGGAAACTTCTGCTCCCAGGAACCGCGGGGCAGAGCTCCGCCAGGAAGC